CGCGAAGCGTGGCGAGTCCTCGCTGGGCTCGCGCGAGGCAGGGGACCGCACCCCCTCCTGGGTCCCGGCGATCCCGGTCCGGGAGGCGGGAGGGACCGACTTCAGACAAACCCAGAGGTGCCCGGAGGCCCGAGATGCCGCAGGCTTCCTCGGAGCCGTCTTCCACGAATGGGTGGCAGACATCTAGTGCTTCTAATGCAGAAAGAAGACAGAAAGAACGCGAAGGGGGGAAAGCTTAAAAAAAAAGTTACGTGATCTGCTAGAGAGGCAGACGTCCTTCGGGAAAGACGGGTGGCCTTTTTGATCCTTACCTCATGCTGCACTGTCTGGCTCGTTTTTTTGCCCTGAAATCAAAGCGCTGGGCTAATCGCTAAATAAATACAGGTCATGGGTTGAGCACTCCTCTGCGGCCTTCTTAACCCATCCGGGGTGCGGAAGTGGAGATGACTAATTCTTTTTTGAAAAGTATTTGGGGATGCTCGAAGACCTCACCTCTAGTCGAGCGCTGCTGCACGGGCAGCGGCTTGCTTTTGTCCAGAGCGCTGTCAGCCGTAGAGTGCCCCCAGGTGAGAGACACTAGGCTCTGAGCACCGCCGAGCAGCATCGGAAGCAAAGGCATGTTGTTCCAGTTTGCAGAAAGAGCCCTGGTTCAGCTCTGGGCTGCTAAGGAGAGATCAGCGCTTGGAACCGAGCAGCTGCTGCTAGATCCTGGGGGAAAAGATCTTGCACTGCCTGCAAGACGTCAACCTAGGAAACAGCTCTGCTCTGTCCCGTAGGATCCCCAGGAGTTGGAATCAACTGCAAAGTAACCAGGTTAATACTCCTCCAAAAATGCCATACTGCGACCCGTAAGGGAAGCAATGAAGAAGGTGGGATGCACTTCGAAAGGAGGCCTCAGCTAGGTAGGAGTCGCCCTCTGCAGCCCCAGCCAGCCACGGAGGGAGGCCACAACCCCTGTCTGCCACACGAACTCACATAACACACAATTTTCACACCAGTGTACAAAGCATCTTTGTTTCATAGCTTTCAAGGTCCCTCTTAAATTTCATTTAGCCTGCTCAGTACAGTTTCACATATATTAACTGCTAGATTTCAGAGTTAGGGTCTGTCTCTCTGTCTCTCTCTCTCTCTCTCTCTTAATCCTCCTTCCTTTATCCAGCGATTCCTGAAGCCTGATCCGGCTGCTGAATGTTGTGAATTAGCCCAGGCACTGGGTCAGTGCAGCGCTCCCTTCTACCTCACTCTCTCATTCCCACCCCCACCATCCCCAAGTGATCTATTTTCTAAGTCTAACTCAAGAATATTTGTGTGTGTGTGTGTGTGTGTGTGAACCTCCCCTCACTATCCAAAACCCAAACCCACTGCCAGAGTCCATTCAGACGCACACTGACCCACAGATAGGTTCCACCCCTAACCCCCCAGACTTAAATCCTTATAAGGAGCTGAACTGCTAACCACAAGGGGCCCTTTCCTGTTACCATTACTCACTCTAATTCACTGCTACCAGGTCAAGGCAAACTTAGTGATCCTATAGGACAGAGTAGAACCACCCCTGTGGGTTTCTGAGACGGTAAATCCTTGCTGGAGAAGAAAGCCTCATCTTTTTCCCACAGCACTTTGGGACTCATAGTTGCGTGAATTCAAACTGATGATCTTGCGTTAGCAACCCACTACACCACCAGGGCTCCTTTCCCATGACCATAAACTCATTGCCATTGGGCCGATTCTGACTCTTAACCACCATATAGGACAGGGTAAAACTGTCTCTCTGGGTTTTCAGGACGAACATTTTTACTGGAGTAGAAAGCCTCTTCTTTCTCCCTTGGAGTGGCTGTTGGTTTCAAACGGCTGAGTTTGTGGTTAGCAGACCACCTCATAACCACTACACCACAAATATTATAAAACACCTACGCTTGGGATGCAGTAATGACAGAATGGAGAAGCACCTCTGTTCATACCACTTGTGCCTAATGATGATGGCAGGTTCTGACCAGGAATTTCAAAGGTGACACACCTCACAGAAGTAGATGTTATGAGTACTACGCAGGTTAACCTAAAGTTTTCTGAAATACATGTGTGTTTTGTTCTATCCACTTCATTGTTACCTCTGAGCAGGAAGGGACTAGGCCACTTGCTTCTTCTTCACCTGTAGGATGCTTATGATATTGTCCCATAGTACCAATAAGCAGTTGCCTGGGAGTGGTTTTCTACTCATGCTGAAACCCCCTTCAGAGTAGAACTGGGCTTATAGGGTTCCCTTCGAATATGATCATTAGGGCTTTCACTTGAGCCAAGTGGGTTTGCAGAACCTAGGGACTTTGGGACTCATAGTTGTGTGCTGTGGGGTTAATTTGGACCCATAGAGACCTTCTATGACAGGGCATCTTAATCAGAGTCCTGTACTAAGTTGTTAACCAAAAAATTGGTGGTTGGATCCCACCAGCCACACCACGGGGTGGGGAGATTTGACAGCCTGCTTCCATAAAGATTTGCACCTATGGGGTCATTCTATTCTCTCCTATATTGTCCTGGTGTGATGAAACTCATTGGTCT